TTCCTTCTCCCCTGCATTCCAGAGCAAATGCTTGTGGTTTTTCTACATAAAAACTGGAGAAACTGAGTTTTTACTCAAGCTTTGAGAGCTGTTTACACTTGAGACCAAATGTGTAAAACTTTCCATCAGAACAATGGCACACTGGACAGACGAAGCACAAAGCACAGAGATCAGCGGAGGCACTAACATGTCCCTGGTATAAACGCCTTTGAGCTTCTTGCCAGTAAGTGAATAATGCTCTTTCATCAGCGCCAGCACCAATCTGACTCTGCATTGGTCCACACATCACCATGCAGACAACAGTCTGTGCATCCAAAACACACATTCAAGGAGAGGGAAGGAATGCTTTCTGGTCTTAAAACCAGTTAAGAAATATTGTTTGTCCACAGAAAGGCATTTAGTTCACAGCAGTGCCCTTAACAACCCACATTTAGGACTGGGTATCGTTCAAAAATTTTCGATACAGATACCTTGACTTCGATACCGGTTCCTGAACAATACTTTTTCGATACCAGTTTTATGAAATAAATTTGAACAAGATTAAAAAAAAAACTTTGGTTTTATTTTTCAGTTTGTTGATGTTTATAAAGACTCAAAGACTCATCTCCTCAGCCACTGCACAAAGGAACAAAATGTAACCAACACAATAAATCAGTGCAAATAGTTTTAATAAAGTTCAAATATATGGATGCAGCGAATGTTCGGCAACCGAAATTATTCGGTCGAAAATAGCAAAAAAAATCTCTTTCGGTGTTCGGCCGAATAAGCGAAAAGGCCGAATAATATGTACCAAACAATGACTAACGCGATCAAATAGAGGCACGCACTAATGCCGCAAACATGTCGGCAGTGTGAAAGTATTTAAAACTATCAGAGAAAGATGCAGAAATCATTACAAGCACGAAGCACCGACAGCGAGAGACTGTTTAGTGCTGCATCACATGTCTCCGATGAGAAGAAGAGGTGGCTGATGCTGGTGGTTAGGCTACTGTATGATGATTGAAATCGAGAAATGGCCTCAAAAGATTAGTAAATAAACTGCAGAATGTTAAATTTTCTAATGCATGCACAAATTGCATGTATTCTGACAGCGCTGCACGAGCTCGCAACGCCAGGGTTCAAAGTCCAAAGCACGAGGAAAATATGCGCTGAAACACTGTTACTTTTTTAGAATTTTCATTTCGGTGCATCCCTATTCAAATAGTTTTCAGTTTACACATATGTTACGCTACGTTTATACTAGTGTGTGTAAGTTTTAAAACGCATAGCTCAGACAGAATAATCATTTCTATTTATTTTCCACTAGGGGTGTGACGAGATCTCGTGGCACGAGATCTCTCCCAGCTGAACACCTCTGGTGTGACTTCACATGCAGACCTTGAGCCAAAAACTCATCACCTAACACAGATCCGATGTGTCTCGCGAGATCTGACTGGTCTCGCAAGAACGTGACGATATCCTCGCGCAGACCTTTCAGATATATTTGCATTACACTGGCTCGTTCACAAGTGGTGGTATGTAAGATATTTTATGTTCACATCAGGCAAGTGGTCGCATGATAAGCAGGAAAATTACGCAGTGTAGTCTTTATCCAGTCATAAAAACAGAATTCACAGTTTAACACAGAATGTCACAGAATTTGTCAAATTTTGAATTAATTAATCAAAAGTAGGTCATTAAACTTAAATCAAATCACGATATGGACTAGTATCTGTAAATATTAAGCCGCAAAAGTCGATTTAAATATGAATCCTGCATGTTCTGCCTGTCTCTTCTAATGAATGGCGCAGACGCGCGGTTTCATTTACTACACACATACTGAAGCACGCCTGACACTCGCGGTGATTTCAGCGTCTGCCGTCTCACTAAATGAGGACGTAAACACATATACTACTACTACTACTACTAAAATGAAACAAACATTCTTTTTTAAGGAATAATCACACAAAACATTTCCATGTTTTAATTTTAATAGTAAATCCCCTTTGTTTGGCAAAAAATCTTGTTTGCTTAATTTTCCGGTTTGATTTGATAAATGATAAATTAAATTAATGTTTTATGCCTTCATTTGATAACCAGAAAAATGTAAATATACAATACAGAATTTCTGAGGGGAAAAAAAATTCATAAGGCTACGTTAAGAAAAAGATGTATAAATAGACATGCTTTTTAATTAATACAATTTAATTTAACTATTAAAAAGGAGTCGAGAAAAATGTAAACGAAACAAAAAAAAAAACGTAATCCAGAAAAATTAAAATGGAAAAAACGGAATTTGGAAAAAAATAATACGGATTTCATAGGGCCCTAACTATCCCTCAGCCTTGCATTCCCCCCAGTTTGGGAACCACTGCTTTATTCTTTTAAATGGATACATTAATCGTGTTTATTATATATTTTTTTATTAGTGGAAATCAGTTTACTAAATAATGTAAACTTGACTGACTGCTTCACTTCCACTTTAAAGGGATATTTATGTTGTTTATTATTTATTTTTATTTATATTTATAATTTTTGTGCAATTACTTGCCTGTCAGTTGAGTTTGTGGCAAAACATTTTGCAGTGTTTACATGTTGTTTATTACTGCATAAAATTTATTAAAATAGATGTTTAATTTCATAATGTACAAGCTGATTTCAAAATGCACCTACTTTTTTGCATTTTGTGTTTTTCAGTTGAATAAAAGACTATTTTTCCCCATATATTTCATCATTGAGGATTTCTTTAAAAAAGTCAAAAAATCTCGTCTCGTCTCGTGGGATATGTGTCTCGTCACACCCCTATTTTCCACTGATTTACTTCCAGCACTGTCTGCCTGTGTTCTCTCTCCCACAATCGCTGTTCTGACTCAGAGGAAATTAAATATTTCAGCAACATTACATGGCCAAAACACATCAATAGACAGCAATCGGAAGTTATTACAAACACTCGATGGTGATTTAAAGTGAGTAAAAGCGGAATATAAATCTTATTTATTGTCTTATTTAGCATGATGCTACAGTGTGCATGAATGGTCACGTAACACGTGCTTTTGGTTATGTAGTATGGATGGAGATTTTTTCTGAAACGCAGTGGAAATGCCAGTATGGACAAGGATCGTTTTTATTTTAAAACAAAAACGCACCAGTGTAAATGTAGCCTTACATCTAAGGGGGTTGGACGCTTTCACACTACCGCCTCACATGTGAGCCCCATCTCTGTGTGTAACCAGTGTAAACTAGTAGGTAGGGCTGCACGATTAATCGCATGCGATATTTAACGCGCATGCTCAATGTGAAAGCCCGCAGGTGATGGAGATTTACCGCTGATTACAGAACCGGCTTTCTGACAAGATGCGCGTTAAATATCGCATGCGATTAATCGTGCAGCCCTACTAGTAGGTGTGTTCGACTTGACGCGGCGCTGCGCAGACCGATCGGTGTATGACAGTACCGCGAGAGCTGTAGAAAGCAGACTGCTCCGTATAATTTCAAATCGCTCTTGCGGATGTCAAACACTGATCGATCTGTGCGGCGCCGCTTCTAGTCGAACACACCTAGTGCTGCAGGCTTATTGGCTCACTGACGTTGACAAGATTAACCCCTTAGGTATCGAAGTTTGGTACCGAACAACAAGACGTTTTTCGATACTCTATGCTATCGAGGCAATTCGGTCGATGCGTAAAAAGTATCGAACTCGACACCCAGCCCTACCTACATTAGTGCATTTCTACCATATCGTTACCTGAAACATTCACATCTGAAACACCTCAGGGGTGTGTGTTTGTCAAACCCGAGAGTAAAACACTCAATTAGACACATGCCTCCAGGCCCCAGAAACAATCCTGCCACACCTGAAGTCCTCAGACTTGAGCTGAGTAAATATGAGTTATGTTTCCATTGTGGAGAACCGAACGTTTTGCCAACTGCCATGACTGCAGAACTAAACTCTTTTTGGAAATCTACAAGAAACTAGGCTTGTCGCGATAGACGGTGCTGACGGTGATACCGGTGTTAAGCCGCAACACCGGTTACGTCATTTGCCCACCGCGTCACCGACCCCCACCGTCATTTTGATTTTTAATAGAATAAAAATCATTTAGTTCGGTAAAAGAACAGACACTACAATTAAAAACTGAACGCGACTGCTCAATAAAAGTTATATGTTTCATATATACCCTAAAGTGAGTTTGACGTTGTATTTTGTTGTTGCATTCAAGCAATTGACGCCTAACTGCCTAAATGTGCACGGCGCTTTTACAAGCTATTTAAAAGCGAAGGAAAGCGAGGAAAAGAGGGAAAATTCAAACGAACTAAAAACGAACAATTGCTTTACGCTGAATTGCCGCTATTTCAAAGTGAAAGTAAAATGTGCACGCCGCTTTTACGAGCTATTTAAAAGCGAAGGAAGCAAGGAAAAGAGGGAACGCCCCGCCCCCGCGGTGATACCGGTATTACCGGTGTTGTCACACGTCGATTAACCGGTGGGAAAATTTCCTCACCATCACAACCCTACAAGAAACTCTAAACTCCAACACTCCTAAGGCAACATAGGAGAGAAAACAGCGAAATTGCTGGGTACTTGACCCCTAATACAGCATAATCCACAACCTGACCTTAACCTCTGAGCAGCATTCCACCGTGAACATACTTTGCAGCAAGGATGTAACCAAGACTGGGACAAATGTAATTGTTAATAATAACATATGTTTAACATCTCACTACATCCAATTTGATCTACATCCTATCTGCTGAAATACGGGAAGGAGACCTCAGGCTTCATTGCAGCTAATCACATACAACTCATCGAGCACAATTCCTAAACAGAGAGAAGAGAAAATAAACAAACTGATGTGGAAAAATATAGTTGCATATTACCAGCCTCTCCCTACACACAGGGACTCCCGGGGGAATGGATAAATCATCGCCGTTAGATACGTCATGGGCCAACTCAGCATTCCAAAAGCTGGGCTGGATATGAGTAGCGGCACGCGTGAGACATGCAAGCAGTGACAACTCACCATTTCTTTGTGCATTCCACCATGAGTTCCTGGTAGGAGGCGACAAACTGGAATTTGGAAGCATGTTTCCCAACACGCTGCAGTCTCTTCCACACTGAAGCCATGGTTTTGTCCTCTTTATAGAGCTGACAGTTTGCTTAAAATACTGTTGCGTTCTGACGCCACCCCCTCACAAATCCTTTCCTTGGAAAAGTTCTCAAAAGTATCCGTCCAAAATCGGCTTTTGTGCATTCACTGATGTTTAAGGGGTTTAAAATCAGGTAGAGGAAAGGAAAAAACACGTAGATCCCTTGCCATCAAAACATTAGAGTGGATGATCGCAGAGCAGCATGATGGCACGACATGTTAAATCCACCGGGGTGATTGACAGCTCTCACAGAGCTCATTACGTGCAGCAAATCCCTCAAAATAAACGTAAGCAGTGCATGGTAATCCAATATTCCTCATTTTCATGTGTCAATAAACCTACAGAGACAAAGAGGGAGGTGGTTAGATCTTAATGATAAAGGTTGTTGCACCAAAAGATATCCATTAACGCATATGTCAATCTTTGATTACCAAATTTCTGAATTAAATATTTGTTAGTTTTAGCTTAATCATTTTACCAAACCCATCCCTAATTTAAGCACTGATGCATACCAGTAACAGAAAATTCCCTATCAGTTATCTGTGCAAGGCAATGGAAAGTGATGGTATCAGGAAGCAGAGATTTGGCTGACTTTGTATATCTGTGCAACCAAATTTCATAGTCAGTCAGATTATATCTTGTGGACCAGTTAAAAATATTCCAAAAACCCAATCTTAGTTTCCCTAATGGGATAATAAAGTTGAGTCTGAGTCTGACCCGGAAACATCTGATCTGATATTGTATATCAAAAGTTATTGTTGCATTTTATTTTGCACAAAAGGAAAACATTTTAGAATGCATTGTTTCTATACATAACCAAGACATTTAAATCACCAGTTTTATATTTATCCATTTTTGTTTCAAGCACTCGCAATTCTTCATCAGATTGTAGTTCTTTCCCTTATTAAAGGCTTTAAGTTCATAGTTTTTGTACCTTTTTTGTATGATTTTCAAATACTTTTTTTTAAATCAAAGTTTGTAATATTCTCATTCACCTCACAGGTAGCTGGATTGGTTCATGTTTTGTCATTTTTTTTAATGAAACTTATTTTTTAATCCCTATGGGGAAAATTATTGAAAAAAACAAGGCTGATGAAAAAGTGGCCGTTCCAGCAAAAGGATGGCGCATAATAGATTTTGCCTAATAAAATAATGTTTTAATAAAAACTGTCATTTATATTTGTATTATGTATTTTTAAAAAAGCTAAAAAGACACTTGAGGCTGTGAAGTATGTAGTCAGGCAGCTAAACAGTACTATACACCCTTTATTATATTGACAGTTGTGCCAATATTCAGTACAACAGCGCGTTGTCTATTGTGTTATTCCATAAATATCAAGAAAGCTGACAACCAGTTTGTTTGTTTGTCTTTCTTGGTTCCATGCTGTCAGACTTTACAGAGCAGACGTTAAAAGTTCAAAAGTTGTCCTGGACTGTCTAAAATAACTCATCCATTTCTTTTAATTATGCTAACAACTGTTGCTGTTCAAACATTCACGAGATGACAGTTTTATATTGATGCAAGACTTCTTCAAACAACACACATCCTCACGCACATACTACAAACTGATAAACTGTCAGTGCTGTCAAACTGACTAAAGAGACTTAAGATAGACGTTCTCAGGTTACTAGTTAAAAATCCTCTTTAAAGTCCAGTGTTTTTTATAAATTTAAAATTTTAGTTTAGCAAGATAGCTTAAGAGATCATCAATAATCGATAACTAAACCCCTGCAACTACAGAGACCCTTTCACAGATATTATTCATAAACCTCCTGGTCTTGGTCGCATTCCTGCACTCACCGCGTGAATAATGCAGCAGCAGTAGCGGCTGAACGTGCCCGATGCGGCGTGAGGCGCGTGGCTGCATTCAGTCCGCTAGCGAGCTAAAGAGCCGCTCCGGCTGGAGATTCCCATAGAGCTCCGCTAGCAGCCTAGGCTAATCTTAGCCAGGCAGGCTATCCCAGGGTAAAGAGCGGCAGCGAAACAGAAATCCCTAGGATACTCAGACGTATACCGGCGACGACCAAACTGAGGAGCTTGAAGCCGAGGTGCAGTGGCGGTTTTCCCGGTCGAAAGGAGGAAATTCCAGCGCTGTTTTCGTATTCACACACAAACCCAACGCATCAAGACTCCATAATTTTCCTCCCCAATCCCACATTCAGTCAAACTTCTGTGCGGAGTCGCCGAGAAACGCCCCCATGCGTCTCTCATTGGCTGGTGGGCTGCAAATATTTACATATTCATGACACTTCTTAACGCTTTTGTTGCCAGTGAGCGCTCCTATTGGTCGATAGAGACATCTTTCAGAGATCTTTAACCCGCTTGTGTGAGCAAGCACACTGAGTTGAGTAGGAACATAAGTAATGTAAACCTTCTTCTATGCGTTAAGGTACAAAGTGTATTAAATATGAGTGTTGTGACTCATAGAAAGAAGAAAATTGCAAAAATCTGATAGGCTGAGGCAATTCAGTTATCTGGAATATTTATTATTATGGTAGGACAATCTGTGAATAATTAAAAATGCTAAAACAAAACAAAAACTATGAAAGAGATATTTTAGAACTATGATTATGAAAGAGATAGTTTAGAACAATATATTTGTAATTGAATGTAATATTTATTGAAATTTTTATTTTATTTTATTTTATTTTATTTTAAAGCAAAACAGTCAGGTCAGTAATGTGCTTTGAAATTAAAAAAAAAACTGGAAAAATGAAGTGAGAGAAACATGGAGAGATTTTGTGAAAGAAACACTCTGATTCTATGGCCAAATGGCAAACAGTTCATTACAGTACATTTTTTTCTGTCTGAAGAATCTGAAGAAAAAACACAGGCCATTTTCTAACCAGATTAGATTTTTTATTTAAATTTAAATGTCAAATGTAGTTGTTGTTGTTTTTTAAGTTTTAAACTAAAGTTCTGGGGTGGGGGGGTTTACCTTCATTATATTCTTTGTTTATCATAAGCCTTTTGATGCCTGCACATCAGTCATTAATATTACAGATAGACACACCACGTGTCAAAAATGCTTTGAAGCTGCCAGCATTCTTGAAAGGACACATATCTGTGAGTATTTGGAGGGAGGTATCTCATACAGATTCTTTCTGCCACTTCCCCAGCATCTTGATCCTTATCTTTTGAGTGCATGAGACAGGTTTCCTCCCTGATGAACGGGTGTGTGCGTGTGTATCGGAAGATGTGAAGATGTGGGCACACAGGGCAGAGGGGGGGTGTGATCTCTACTCAAAAGCAGTCACAGTGTCTGTCTACAGAGAGTTGTAACATCATGACTGCAGTGTCACACTGCCAAGAGCACTTTGAAAGACAGCCAATCAGACACCTTTGCCATGTGTCAGACAGAGACTCAAGGAGTCTGTAGATCAGATCCTGCTTTTTATGGGCTGCCAACACTTTAGGACATGTGTTAGGCAACATTAAACCTCTCAGGCCACTGCTCTGGAAGCTCAGGAGCTGCCAACACCATCTTGTAACAGATAAGATGTTAAAGAAGCTCTATGTTCTATGTATCTCTCTATGATAAAATATGCATTTGTTTAAAAAAAAAAGTTGTGTTTTATAATACAATAACAATACACTACTACTAAAAAATGACCTTTTTCCACAATTTAATCAATGAAATCAAGACGTGAGTCTGCAGTTTGTCTGTGTATCGACTTTACTTTCTCTCTCTTCCTGTGTGTGTCCCAGCGGTAATGTGAGTGTGTTTGCTGGCAGTGAGATAAGCACGCTTACTGTAAGTGAATCACTCCCTCATGCACTGGCACGGACACATGGGCACAGCCGTGGGTGAAGACCAAGAAAGGAGAGAACAGTGATGTCACACACAATGGAAGCTTTGGCGCCGCAGTCTGCAGAAAGAGACAATGACATCACAGAAGAAACTATAGAACGGTAATGCGCCTCATTCTGGCTAATTAAATGCTCTATACAGTTTCTTCTGAACCCATGCATCATTATGAGGAAATCAATGTTCAACAATGAGATTCAGTGTCCTTAATGAGACAGTTTGAAGTGTGTATGATTAACATCTGTTGATCAGGTCAGTATTACATATAACTGTGTTAATTTATGTATGTGTGTGTGTGCACTGAATTTTAATCTCTGTGTTGAAGACAGAGAAGTTGTTGGGTAGAAGATTCTGTAAATGACTCCAGCTGAATGTCCTCTTCAAGTAAACACAAGGAAGTGCAGAGTGCAACCTCAACATACAAATTATAGTTTATTCAACAATATTTACAGAAGAGTATAAACATACAAGACTTTGACAACATCACAAACATTAACAAAGATGGGAACTCTACAAGTATAAAGTTAATGCTAAATATTGTGATATTTGACTTTATGGAGGATCACTTAATAGTGATTATGCATGGAAGGCTATGCCATCCCTAGTAAAAAAAAAAAGAATATATTTAAAATACATTTATTTCAAACTAAGTATAGTTCAAATCTATTAACATATTTACTGGCATAACGCTCAAGACTTGCTGATATAAAAATTATAATTAAACTTTATTTGGAGTACTACATGTGCGCAATGCACATTTCTTAATTTTAAGCCTAAAATGTGTTTTAAGGTCACTATTGATGAGAGTTATATGATCTTTGATAATAAAAGTCTTTAAATGCAAGATATTTAAAGTGTATCTGAAGTATACTTGCAATAGTTCCACTTTAGCACAATCAAATATACTTCAGTATATCTTTAGTTGAACTTCAGCACTACCTCCACACAATTAAAGTACACAAAATTAGTTGTTCCAATTGAGCACACTTTAAGTATACCAGTTTAGTATACTAAAAGTACAATTGAAGCGTACTATTAAGTACATAAATATGTAAATTCATTTGTAGTATACTTAGCATGAAATACGTTTATTTCAAATACATTTTAGTATATTTATTTTTCACTAGGGATCATAAGCAAACATGTAAAAAACAAACAAAAAAAAAACAGTAATTACTGACATATGTGACCCTGGAGCACAAAACCAGACTCAAGTCACTGGGGTATATTTGTAGCAATAGCCAAAAATACATTGTATGGGTCAAAATTATAGATTTTTCTTTTATGCCAAAAATCATTAGGATATTAAGTAAAGATCATGTTCCATGAAGATATTTTGTGAATTTCCTACTGTAAATATATAAAAACTTAATTTTTGATTAGTAATATGCATTGCTAAGAACTTCATTTGGACAACTTTAAAGGCGATTTTTATTTTTTGCACCCTCAGATTCCAGATTTTCAAATAGTTGTATCTCGACCAAATATTGTACCTATCCTAACAAATCATACATCAAAGGAAAGCTTATTTATTCAGCTTTCAGATGATGTATAAATCTCAATTTCGAAAAATTGACCCTTATGACTGGTTTTGTGGTCCAGGGTCACATATTTGTATTCTATCGAATTTTATAGTAATAATAATAATTATGATACATTTAATAAAATAATATTTTGTCTATATTTGTCATTTTATTAATATTACTTTATAAATATTTATTAAAATAAATTATTTTATCTGAATAAAGCAGTTAGCCATAAATGGATCTGAATAGGCCTTAACACTGGCTAAAGATTAATTTGATTCCTAATGTTTTGCTGTCTGTAAGTAGTTGAGAGTGTGACACCACCTCCTGCTGTTTGGCACTTCAGGTCACACAGGCCTCTTGATACTGACAAAGGGTTTCCAGCGGTTCCCAGGGGCCAGTAAGGCCTGAAAGGTTCGATCCATCACCGCACCTCTGAGATTTCACGCTGCTGGGTCACCTCTGGAGAGGGACACACAAACATTTGTGTTAGTTCTTGCTACAGATTACAGTCGAGTGTGTTTGGGATTCCTTGTAGATCTTCTGATTCAGTGGTATATTTTCTCTCTTGTATTCTAGCACTGGATAATGGAGAACAGATGGGACTGTTAATTCGAAGCAGACATGGCAGCTTTATCTTTTTTGTGCTCTCTGATGAGAAAGCAGCCCACAATACTAAGCTGCATGAGTGCATGACTTAACAAAACCTAGATTGCTACAATTTTAATGTCATCATATTCCAGATTAGCTGTGACTACCAATGTTAGCAATAAAGACAATGAAGGTTTCTGGATCCGGCATATAGATCAATTTCGTTTTATAAACATAGTGAAGTTTTATGAATCAAGAGAAACTGAGACAAATGATAGCTCACAGAAAATTTAAATGGTGTTCCAATCTTGCATGAGTTCTCTGATTTATTCTGTGGAACACAAAAGGAGATATTTTGAAAAATGTACTGACCAGCCTTTTCCATATAATAGAAGTAAATGAGGATCTGGGCTGTTAAGCTCCAAAGTATAGTTTGTACCAATAATTTATCATATAAAATCTTAATCATTTCATAAAATCATAATCATCTCAATCTTAATCATTTAAAATCTTGCATTCCACTGCACGCATCCATGAATTTATGCAACATGTCAAGTTTGACAATAATGTGATGTGACAAATCAAATTCACAAAACAACAAGTCTGATTATGTAGAAATGCAAATGAGAGCTGAGGCATAGGGGGCATAACGATAAGGGTGATGAAAAAGGATGTTAATTTTTGAGTGATCTATCTCATTAAAATGACCATAAACTGACCTGAGAGACAAAAACAACAACAACAAAAAAATGTATACTGAGCAATAAATGTGTAGAAAATCCATCACACACATAGTGTATATAGGCCTACACATATGCACTCACACACAGCTGATGCCGAGTCAGACTCTGCTCTATAGCTGAAATCATAAAGGTCACATTATAATTGAGTTTGCATAATTTCTGTATGTGCAAAATACATTAACCAGAAAAAAAGTGCATAAATGACCAATTCTGAAATGACCTGGCAACATATCTGCAATTAAACATCTTTATGGGTCGTATAGCATCATTCATGCCTTATAAAACATGTATGGAGTCAATGCATGACCCATATAAAACAACTTTCATCTACAGGGTATCCTGTAATAGTCTGTCTGATATCACATTTATCTTCCGCAGTGGTGCGTTCAATCTGTGGGCAGTATTTTAGAATGGGAGACCAAGCTGTTATCTGCCATGAGCAAGTCACACACACACATGCACATATATGCTCCAGTACTTGCTGACAGCCACACAATGAGA